CCTTTTATGTACGGTATGGTTGCTGTAGTCGTAGGGGTTGCGGTGTCGTTTGTTTCGGTAGTGGTAGTGGGTCGGTGAGTGTTTCGTCGGATGAAGTCGTTGTTGTAGTTGTTCTTCGTAAAAACACGGTGAAGGTATTTGTTCTCGTCGGATAAGCTGTCTGTCGAGTCACATACTAGTTGTGCGCGTCGTGTTAGAGTTCTGATAGTTGTGGCTTTGTGTGATGTAGGGTTGTAGGATGACTCGTCTAGTAATCTGTCGGTGTGTGTCGGTTTCCTGTAAACTGTCGTTCGTAATGAGTTGTCGTTGTGGCTTACCAGGCAGTCTAGAAAAGGAAGTTTGCCATTTTCTTCGACTTCTCTGGTAAACTGTATGTCAGTGTCTTGTTCGTTAAGGTGGTTGTGGAATGCGTCAATTTCGTCGTGTTGAACGGCGGTGAATGTGTCGTCAACGTAACGTAACCAAAGCGGTATCGTTTGTCGGCAAGTCGAAAGGGCGCGTTCCTCGGAAAACATATTGTGGGTCAGGAAAGTTAGATTTATTAAGCACCAATTGTTATTCTCATCAAACTCGGTTGTAAAGAAGCAAATATCCATGTCAGGAAGGCCATTTATTTAGCTTATCTCTGTCACTTCTAGGTACGCAATGCATGCTAAATTGCTTATTTTTTTTGGGTCACATTTAGGAAATGTTGAACCCTTTCAGTCATTTGCCAATAAAAACCCTTTCATATTATTCTGGATGCATGAACCCGAGAGGGTGTCAAATCACTATTGACGGACGGTTCTAATTACGTGCCCATAGTATATATCAGTCTGTGAAAATGCTCCAAACTAAAAGGGACACCAAAGTCTTGCTTTCAACCGAAGTGACTTACAAATCGTTTAGACTAAAATAATTAAATGATACAGTTGTTTCAAAAAATGCATTACGTACCGTTACACTCTTACACTGTTCAGATTCAAAACAAAGCTTTCTTTATCACAGTTTTTAAACTGTTATTTAAAAATAACAAACGTTCAACAAAAACTAATTACATAATCAAAAGGCTAAAGGATGAGGCTCCAACCAATTGTAAAAGTAGTCAAGACATGCTGCCTTGGCAAGAAATGATTGTTCACCATGTGATCGAATATGTTGTTTCCCCCCCCCCTGTTTTTCAATGTTGCTAGCTAAGCAGTATCATATACAAGAGACAGCTTTTGTTTTGTTTCGTTTTTCTCTTTTTTTACTATCTCTTCTTAACCGTCCGATGAAGTCATTATCAGCACTTTTTGCTTAAGGTGTCTCAACATTCTTGCAATTGGTTGGAGCTTTCACTCAATAGGCTATTTTAAGTCAATCTGCCTCACAGTGGAGTAACACGCCATATTCACCTGCACACAGGGCAATAAAACAAACATACAAAAAAAGTAGTTGTCCATCAATATGTGCCCTTAAAGTCAAGTTCGTGTTTCTTAGGAATGCATTGTGGTCCTACAGGAGTGCCATATCGCTCCACCTTCTGTCCGGTGAAGTTATAGGGTTCTATCGGTGTCATCAAGATGGCGTTGGTAGATCCAATAGAGGGATCCTCGTCAAAGTAGTTGAAAGGCCTTATGAAGAAGCGAGCTGAGTTGGCAGCCGTGGCGGTGTTGGGCAGGTCTTCTGCATGAGGCACGTGCATCGCGCCAATTGTAACCCAGGCAACCAAATCCTCGTTCACAATGGGCTCATCATCCACGAGGTAATTTCGAAAATCAACCTGTGAAAGGGTAAAGAAGCAGTGTATGAAAACTAAATATGAACGTGACGTTTAAACCCCTCGTTATCGCGTTCATTCCCTGCCCTGTCAACATCTAACTAATGGCAAGGAGAAAGATACCATAAAACCCATCGTTGTGGGCCTATCTGAGGTCATCTCTCCAATATACATTCATCAAGAGAGCACTTTCTCAATTCGCCATCGTCAGACTGAATGCATTTTTCATTTACTAACAAACGTTTGGTAAGATGTTTGACACGAAGCTCCGGCTTAATCTTCCATACTGTAACCTGCAGAGCAGACATCATTTCTACGCTAAATGATAAAAGGATTCGTCTTTATTTAGTCACGGTAAACAGAAGAAAATAAGCTTTAGAATAAGAGAGTCTAACCTGCGGATCTGTTGGCGAGTTTTGGTTATAAATAGAGCTACTCTGTGTTTCATTCTCTTTGTATTTGGTGACAGCCATTTGGTAGAGGGACCAGCTCATCATTGGCGTGATCATCCAGTCTTCTGGGTACAACTGTTTCAACATGTTGTCCAGTTGGATGCGGTATCCTCTCTTCACACCCATCCTGTTAGTCTTGTCATTATTGAAGAAGTTCAAGTACATTGGACGTTCGAAGTCAAACTTATAAGCGGCATCCATCTCTGTTTTCTTCACACTACGTTTTAGAACCTTCTGGACACGTCGTCGGTTGGGAAACCAGCGCTCAGTGATGTTTTGGATTCCAATTTCAATAGTTTCGTACGAATTCCCTCGACCACCAACGTCCAAATCAACTTTGTAATTGAGAAGGTGATCGTGTGTACCACTTGTGAAATCCTTATGGAGGGGGTATGCGTATGGGTCCATGTCAGAGTTATAGAATGCTCCAAAGATATACCCAGAGGCTGACACCTTGACTTCTATGACTCCGTTCTGGTAGAATATGAAGTCGAAAGCATAATCATAGTTATAAACTGTTGCTACTGTACGCAGAACCAAAACTTGGTTGGCCATCCCTCCATAAAAGTTATAACCATTGTAAAAGTTGTTATCATAATGTCGACGAAGCGGTATTCCAGTATTTAGTTCGAATACACAGACTGCGTTGCGAAAGGTCTGCGGATTTGCAACTCCGATCATGTGCACCAAGTCAAAGAAAGTAGCAGTATTAGGGCAATCAAAGCCTCGAACCATTTCGAAACTACTCATTCCCATTCGCCATGAGCCGTCAAGAAAGTTATTCCAAGAGGGGCTTGGATAAAAACCGGCGTAAGTAGCCGCTGCTTCTTGAAGACTGAGCTCGTAAACAATTCTCTCTCCCTTGAATTTGATATCGTAGATTTGTATGCCACTGTTGGAATCCATTCTGAAATCAAACGACCAAGACATGTAGGTAATTTGACGTCCATTAACAGTGTAACGCTTTCCATCGGGCTCGTACTGTTCTGGTCCTCTTGCTGGTTTAGATGGTTGGGGATCTCCTCGACGTTCATAACTGGAGAATAGCGCGTCTGCCCCCGCTTTTGGAGCAGGCACAAAAATCTTGTTAACGGTGTTATTTTCGAATTTGGCCGCTAACTCGTCTACAGAGTCAAAAGTCTGGTTGTTGTACAGAACCTTGAGGATTTTCCACTTGGAAATGTCTGCTCCTCCATGATCTACCAGAAACATCAGGTCCAAAGGATGAAGGTATTGGCCTGCAACACCTCCGCGAATGAAAGAGATCCAGGTGTAGCGGTCCTCCCCTGTAAAACCCATTGGGGCTGTATAAAGGAACTGTAAACACTTCATACCAGAGATACAAGGGAAGACGTAGCCGTCATAACTTTCAGACATCAACTTGTTGAGTTTTTGGGCAGCTTCTCGGATAATCGTCTGTTCTAGTGTGTTATATTCTACAACGCCATCAAAAGGTCGAGCATTAAATGGAACAGTTTTTTTGTGTCCACCTTGAATCTTTCTAACCTTGTATTCAGTTGGGGTTGAGACCGGATAGACAATGTATTCTTTAACCACAGGTGGATCCGCCGCACCATGGAAAACAACAGCAATCGCTCTTCGTTCGGGCTTGGCACCGTTGTTGTCTAGATGCTCCAGAACTTCATCTTTGGACGGCGGAAGCAACTGAATCAAGTAAATATAATTGCTGTTGACTGTAGCCTTCGAATATTCCGTGAGGTTCATTGATGCCTGCTTCAGAAGATAGTTCCTGACGACGGTGATCTCACTGACTGTCAGGTCTTCAAAAAGACTAGATGACTTTGGTTGTGCGTTGGAACTTGTCATTCCATCTGCACAAGGTTCCACAGTCACGGCGGTGTTAGATGTTGGTTTTGGCTTTGAGCGTTGGTTCTCGGCCCGTTTCTGTTGCTTTGTTGCTACAACTATCAAAGCAATTAACAGCGCTATACTTATCACAATGAAGATAATGGCCAGAACCTTCCACATTGTAAGAGCAGAGCTGCGTGCCGGGCTAGCTTTCTTCTTAATCATAGGATCGCTTGATTCCATTGTCAACAAAAACCTACGCAAGGTGAAACTGAAGTAAGTTTGGGATTCTAACTTTTGCTGACTAATAGCACGTAATTACTTGATATTGGTCCACGTGCCTGTGGGTGTACTGAATCACCTATTGTTCTCTTGACCGCGGTGGTAACTGTAAACACGCAAGACCAATCAAGAAAAACATAAAAGTGACACTGTGTTCTGTTATGGCTCACTGGATTGGCACTGAATCAAGACCAGAAAAAAATTAACTTCTTTGGAGCTGACTGGGTTTAGACCCATAGAGCACGCCAACATAATATGCTACGATTATAAAAAAAAAGTGTAGTGGGCTTATTTCTGTTATGATCTTATTATCTTCAAATGATTTCGACTTCCCGATAAACAAGCATGCTTAGAGTCTTACTTAGGCTAGATTACCAGTCGCTGTTCGGGAACCTCCTCCCCGAAGCGACGGCTGGAAGCGTGAGGTTTCTTTTGTTGCTTATAGCAAGTCAGAATTTCGCCTGCAGACTTTTGTGAGGCCACATAAATTATCTGGTCAGACAAAGTTTTTAAAATGGTGGACGATGACAAAATGATGACAAAATCGAGTTTAAGAGACGATTAAACGGAGCAGGGAGAGGGGAGGAGGCGGGCGGGCGTTTTGGTTGGGGGACACAGCCGGCAGCCCCCTCTTGTTTTGGTGTAAGTTACATATAATAGCTGAGGGCAGATGAAAATTTAATTTTAAAACATCTAGGCACTAAAATCATCAGATAAAGGACAGAAAGTTATTGCTTCTTTCCACTTGAGTAAACTGTAGGAAAATGTCACACAACACTGTAGTTGATAATGAGCCAATGTCGAATGGGACATAGTCAGACATTACTTTTTTCTCTTTCCGATGAATAGTCCGCTTTTCATCCGCCACCTTAAAAAATACGACGTTGTTTTCGGAAGCGAATCAGTCAAGTGATGAAATAAACAGCCGAAAATCAATTGGTTCCGTGATTTTCTTCTGGACCAAGAGCTTTAGTAACACACTTTTAGTTTATCATTGTATGAGTTATATACAGACGGTGTGCAGTGGAAATCATTGTGAACCGTAAAGGTCAAGGCTTGATCTGAAGCCTTGCTCCGCATGATACTGGCAAAGATGAACGGCGCTTTGGGATAGATTGGCGACCTGGGAGCCCTTACTTCCCTTGGATCGTGATGATCCAATTTAAAAGCTCCACTCGGCGAAGCTAATCGACGTCATGACTTTTCGGCAATAGCTGGTTTTAAATATCCGTTCTAGAATTCTATGAACGTTTCTTACGGGATAAGCTAATCCACAGATATGTTTCCAGCTTTTCAAAAATCTGTTTTCGTAAAAGAAAGAACCTACCTGGATCACATACAAACGTTTATCCGTCGCGCTTGTGTACGCCTGATACCTTCCAATAGAGTTCTAAACGGAATATTGCGTGACAGTAAGACAGATGGTAGAGTTCAAGAGAATGACAGCGCGTAACGAACTCTCTCTGCATCAAATTCTTCGCCGAATACATTGTTGCCGTTATTCGTTATAAATTCGATTTTTTTCGTCCTGTCTCATTTTCATTAAATTTGTTTACACGCGCATTGCTTTCAACGGTATTCTGTTACCCTATTTTTTTGCATAATTTCTCTTTGTCCGTCTTTAGGGTAAGTTTTATTCATTCAACTTAATCGTTTAAGCTGTGCTGGATAATTGCTCTCAATCATTTTCAATCGTCCTAAGCCAGCCATTTGCCAGGATCTCGTACAGTGTTTGTAAGTGCCTTTATTGTTCATTATTCTGTTTCCTGGTTTTCAATTTCTTTACGTTTAATTGCAGTAAGTTACTGTTTGTAGTTTTATTTTAGCAATCGCTTCGCTTCAATTTCGTTTATTAGAGAGCGTGTTTAACTTTGCACATGTACGGGTATTTTGGCCATTACGTACACCTTCCAACTGCGTTTTCGTTAACCAAGCAATTTCCCTTCAAGGAACGAAATTCTTTGGCGCAAAATTTGTACTTAGTATTTATTGGACAAAAACGGAATAATTATGTACAACGTACGGCGAGCGACTGTGTGTCAATCATTATGCTGTGGTAACCGTTATTCACTTTTCGAAGCGCCGTTGCCTTCAGATCTTAACTTGTAGAAAAAACCCGAATGATTCAGAGTGCGAGGTTGATGGGACTATCAGTGATATGTGCAAACGTGATCAACTTATCTCTTCTCTTCTTTCAGAACATTTTGAGAAAGACACTTGATACGATGCTAGAGTATCCCTTTTACCCTTCAAAAACGCAGGGTAAATTTTCATTAGGACCCATTAACACCACTTCAAAGTGAAATAACACGAAAGCGTTATCAAGTTTGCAAGAAGACAGTTATAGTATTAAATTGTGGCAGTTTTAAATTTCATTTAGGCTGTTTGCAGAAATACCAAAACTCATTTACACCAATATACTTTTATTTTAATGTAACGTAGATTCTCTACTGCTAGAGTGCAATCAATGACAGTTCTCAGCTGCACTAACAACTTTGGAATTTCAATTGAGCTTGTGTTCCAGTAACTGCCTATCCTTCTACTGCTTCGCGGTATAAGCAACGCAGGATGCAGGTTTGCATAAACCTATACCATTGAGCGCATTTTCAGACAGTTTTTGCGTTCATAGATGGTTGTAAAGGGTATTTTCGTGATTCGTGGATGGCCTATTTTTTCCCCGTGAAACCTAAAATGGCTTGTTTTTCTCTCGTGAATCGTGATTTCATTAATAGCCGTGAACCTTGATTTTCCAAAATAGTTCTCCGTGAAATGAGAAAGAAGTAATTTTAAATACTGAAAATTCGTCGTGAAACGGGATTTTCATTGTAGTTTCGACAGTAATGTTATTTCCCGTGAATTGTGGAAGGACCAACTTATATTTTATTTTCAGTGAAAAGTGATCTTGATCCCCCCTCTACCACCCTCTTCATACGTCTTCGGCCCGCAGTTAACTGAGAATCCCCCCCTGGCGATAATTATAATCTCCGAGTGCACGCCTTGCTTCTTTCCGGTATTTGACCGATGTAGCGATGACTTTGGTTGTGCTTCAGAACTTGTCATTCCGTCAGCACAAGGTTCCACACTCAAGGTGGTGTTGGATGTCAGTTCTGGCTTTGAGTGTTGGTTCTCAGCCCCTTTCTGTTGCTTTGTTGCTACAACTATCAAAGCAATTAACAGTGCTCAGTACTTATCACAATGAAGATGATGGCCAGAACCCTCCGCAGCTGGGTGCCGGGCTAGCTTTCTTCTAAAGCATAGGTTCGCTTGATCCCATTTTCAACAAAAACCTACTCAAGGTGAAACTGAAATCGGTTTAAGATTATCACTTTCGCGTTTTAAAACGCTCCGCTACCTCTGCTCTGTTTGAGGTGACACCACAAAAAGAGCCCCTCAAAAATAGCAATAATGACATGAAGCAGACGCTTAAGATAAATGCATTTACATATAATTGCAGAGGGCAGAAGATGTTTTTGAAAATTTGATTTTTAAAACATCTACGTATTAATATCCGCAGATCAATGATTGCAAGTTTTCGCCTCTTTCCTCCGTGAGTTGTGTTCGCAAAAACTTCACAGTTAAGTAAAACTGTACGTAGGGAAAATGTCACACATTACTGTATGTAGTTGATAATAACCCAATGAGGAATGGGACATCGTCAGCAGACATTTCCTAATTTCTCCTTCCAATGAATATTCCACTTCTCATCCGCCACCTTTAAAAACGCAACTTTCTTTTCCGAAGTGAATCAGTCAGTTGATGAGAAGAGTCGAAAATCAATTGGTCCCGTGATTTTCTTCAGGATCAAGAAATTCAATTAGTACAGTTATAGTTTATCATTGCATGCGCTAATTTATTTATACAGACGGTGCTCAGTAGAAATCACTGTGAAGTACAAAAGACAGGGCTGTATAAGAATCCTCGCTCCGTATGATAACGACAAGGTTAACAGCGCTTTTACATACATCCTCTACATTCGTTTTCTATAAACAAGAGATTCCCCTTCAAGGAGCGAGACTCTTTGGTACAAAATTTGCACTTAATGTTTAGTAGAGGAAAACGGAATAATTTAGAGACGTCTTATGCAAAACGGCGAACGACTGTACTGTGTCGATCATTATGCTATTGTCATTCACATTTCGAAGCACCTTTGCCTTCAGATCTTAACTTGTAGAGAAAACCCGAACGATTCAAATTGCGATGTAAATCGGGGACTATCCCGATCTTAAATCACTGATATCTGCTGACGTGATCAACTTATTTCTTCTCTTTTTGAGTACACTTCATACGATACGATTCTGAAGTAACTGACCATGAGAGTACAGTCAATACAAACACAACGCATATTGTATTTAGAGCTATTGAATTGTACCACCAACCGATTCCTAATCATTCCTTGATCTCGATAAACAAGGCGAGACAGACTGGACATCGTTTAAATTTTACAAAACCTACAGTTCCAAAAATGACTGAAGCCAAGAGTAGTGTTTCGACAGATTAAACTTGTCCTCAATGACTTTGATTTCCACAAAGTCACGCACTTTAAAATAAATGTTTTGCAATTAATTAAAATTAAGATAAATTAAAAATTAAGATACTGAAAAAAAAAAAAAAAAAAAAAAAAACTTACAAGACAGTTGTCTTGTAAATTCATAAACAAGACGAGACAAACTGGATATCAGTTACATTTCACACAACATACCGTTCCAAAAACGACTGAAGCCAAGAGTATAGATGTCTCGACTGATTAAACTTGTCCGCAATGACTTTGATTTGGACAAAGTCTCGCAATTTAAACACTGAAATATGCCAATACACTTAAGGCCACTTCATAGCATGAGGCTGTATGTGCATTTGAAGATCACTGTTGGAACGACTTAAAAATTTCTTTTCCGCTTCATTGAACCTCTGCTGAAAGGCGTTAACATCTCGTTTTCCATGAGACACAAATACGTCGTTATTTTTCAAAAATCCTGGTATTGCGTGAAAGGTTTTGTCTGTCTCTTAATCCTGATGCAGACGAAGCAGTTTTTAGGCGCTTTATGTCCATTTGTAATAAAACAGCCTAAAAAATATTTGCAATGCACGTTGAATCTGCAGAGTACATTCTAGAAAAGTTTTAGTGTTAAATTGATTGAAAACACAAAAACGTCATTATGATGATATTTTGGTTCAAATTAATTTGGAAGGAGCTGTGTACGTAGCATTTGACATTTTTGGTGTTTTTGCATGACACCTAGAGGTCAATCAACCATCCATAGCGTCTTCAAGTGATACAAGTACTTGAATACAACATACTTCAAAGGCTAAAAGTAGCAGGAAGTTTTATGCTCAGTTGAGTATCACTGTGGAAAAACTTTGGGGATTCGTTGCCTTTCCGTTGAACTTCAGCTGAAAGCCAACAAGATCTCATTTTCAATGAGCTAGAGAAACTAGTGATCGTGGTTTGCCATTTTGCATAAACCCTGACATTGTTTGAAAGACTAATGTTGTCTGCCTCTAATCTATTTAGACGAGACAGTTATTACACGGTTTATGTCCATGCATAATTAAAAGGGCTAAAAATACATTTGAAATGTCACGTTTAATCTGCAGGGAACATTATACGGAGTATTTTACATTTAAAATGGTTGAAAAGACACAACGTTTGAGTGTCAGGATACCGTACCTAGTAAAGATGAAACGAAAAAAGTAGAGTACATAGCCTAGTAAAGCAGTAATCCCCCTAGTAAGCTGCAATTCTTGCAATATTTCAGGTGTTTTTAAAATGCATCTACATTCATCAACTATCTATTGCCAAGAGAGAACTGCGAAGCACTTCATGTTCAAATCGGTCATTTTAAGCTTTTGAATTCTTTGCACTTGCATTGGAATAATTTTTAAAAAAATGGGGCTCAAGATCACATATGCTAAACAAATGGTCGCAAATAACAGCAACATGCAACCAAGCGAAACCATTTTCGAATATTTGCATGACTTTGCAATTTACGAGTTCATTTTGATCATCGACAAAAAGCCTAAAAGTTAACATTAAAAGGGAGTATTATTGATCATGCAGGCTTCCTTCCTCCGTGGGCAATTCGCCTCACACTGAGATATTTTTCCTGACGACTAGCTCATAATTTACATCCAGTATTTTTGTTTATTTGTGCTGACCCTCAACAAATGAATTTTGATTTTGGATTAAGTCACGAAAACATCCGGTTATCGATAGAGAAGCGTTTGGATTTGCCAGAACAAGAGATTGAATGTGACCATTGACGCACATTCTAATAGTACACCTTCATCTACTTCAATTAAGTGAATGGCACAGCTTTGGAGCAATAGGTCGATGACCAGTTCTAATGAAATCAAGCTCCTTTCTGGTCAAGAATTCCTTGACATATCGAAGCACCGCTCAAAACCGCTTCTATTGAAAGCAGGACCTTAAAAATCAGTGCCTTTGAAAGAGTCTCACCTGCAAGGCGATGAAATACCCAATGTACACAAAAGATCCTGCAGCTGATCAATGAGCAGTGGAACCGGATGATAAGTGACTGGGAGTGAACAAATAGACCAGCATGCTTTTGGATCTTAGATGCCCCTTGCAACCCCCGGGGAATAGGGAGAAGGCGTGATGGAGTGGTTAGGGCGCCGTTCAAGTCGTCCACCCTGCTACCTACTGGATTTGTTATCGGTCACTCCGACCGCCCTTTCTATATAGCCACCTGGGCTGTCTCCTGCCAGTTGCCAGAAGCCAAGAGTAGAGATGTCTCGACTGATTAAACTTGTCCGCAATGACTTTGATTTCGACAAAGTCTCGCAATTTAAAATAAGTGTTTTGCATAAGGTCGCAGCCGTAGCAAGTATGATAAATATTGTAAGAAATAGACAACTTTTCTTAGACATGTTTCGGCATGCTTATGCCATCTTTAATCAATGAATAACAGAATCCAGAATACTAAAGCAAGAAGGGGAATATTTGTTCTTACAAGAAGGAGATGTGTTTAAATGCTTAAAAATATGCGATTTTTTATCGCTTTCCGTGGGCTCCTTTATCCTGGTAGAGAAGTGGCGACTAGTTTCGCCAATATAACGGGGATTGCATCCCGCCCAAGAAAATTGATAAACCACCATGGATTTTAGAGCATCAGGAGTACGATCTTTCACACTGAACATGTTTCTAATTTTAAAAGAAGTGAAAACTAGTTGATATTTAGGTCCGACCTACAAAAGCGCTTAGTGAGTTGTCGGAGTCTGAGGTTCGCTATTTTAGAATAATAGCCGACAAAAGGGAGTTTAAAGTAACGTGTATTATTGTCATCAATGTTCCGGCTATTTTGAGGAGGACCCGTCAAGATACCGCTTGAAAGTTCTCTCAATAATATGCAAAGGAAAACAATTACGTTTTAAAGTGTCAGAAAGTTAGCTTGGAAGACTCAACGCGCTTTGCAATATGAAACAAAAAGAAGCCAATATTTCAAAGTAAACATAATGTGTTTGAAAAAAAGAAAACAACAACAACAACTGGCAGGAGACAGCCCCGGTGGCTATATAGAAAGGGCGGTCGGAGTGACCGATAACAAATCCAGTAAGTAGCAGGGTGGACGACTTGAACGGCGCCCTAACCACTCCATCACGCCTTCTCCCTATTCCCCGGGGGTTGCAAGGGGCATCTAAGATCCAAAAGCATGCTGGTCTATTTGTTCACTCCCAGTCACTTATCATCCGGTTCCACTGCCGATTGATCAGCTGCAGGATCTTTTGTGTACATTGGGTATTTCATCGCCTTGCAGGTGAGACTCTTTCAAAGGCACTGATTTTTAAGGTCCTGCTTTCAATAGAAGCGGTTTTGAGCGGTGCTTCGATATGTCAAGGAATTCTTGACCAGAAAGGAGATTGATTTCATTAGAACTGGTCATCGACCTATTGCTCCAAAGCTGTGCCATTCACTTAATTGAAGTAGATGAAGGTGTACTATTCGAATGTGCGTCAATGGTCACATTCAATCTCTTGTTCTGGCAAATCCAAACGCTTCTCTATCGATAACCGGATGTTTTCGTGACTTAATCCAAAATCAAAATTCATTTGTTGAGGGTCAGCACAAATAAACAAAAATACTGGATGTAAATTATGAGCTAGTCGTCAGGAAAAATATCTCAGTGTGAGGCGAATTGCCCACGGAGGAAGGAAGCCTGCATGATCAATAATACTCCCTTTTAATGTTAACTTTTAGGCTTTTTGTCGATGATCAAAATGAACTCGTAAATTGCAAAGTCATGCAAATATTCGAAAATGGTTTCGCTTGGTTGCATGTTGCTGTTATTTGCGACCATTTGTTTAGCATATGTGATCTTGAGCCCCATTTTTTTAAAAATTATTCCAATGCAAGTGCAAAGAATTCAAAAGCTTAAAATGACCGATTTGAACATGAAGTGCTTCGCAGTTCTCTCTTGGCAATAGATAGTTGATGAATGTAGATGCATTTTAAAAACACCTGAAATATTGCAAGAATTGCAGCTTACTAGGGGGATTACTGCTTTACTAGGCTATGTACTCTACTTTTTTCGTTTCATCTTTACTAGGTACGGTATCCTGACACTCAAACGTTGTGTCTTTTCAACCATTTTAAATGTAAAATACTCCGTATAATGTTCCCTGCAGATTAAACGTGACATTTCAAATGTATTTTTAGCCCTTTTAATTATGCATGGACATAAACCGTGTAATAACTGTCTCGTCTAAATAGATTAGAGGCAGACAACATTAGTCTTTCAAACAATGCCAGGGTTTATGCAAAATGGCAAACCACGATCACTAGTTTCTCTAGCTCATTGAAAATGAGATCTTGTTGGCTTTCAGCTGAAGTTCAACGGAAAGGCAACGAATCCCCAAAGTTTTTCCACAGTCCGAATACTCAACTGAGCATAAAACTTCCTGCTACTTTTAGCCTTTGAAGTGTGCTGTATTCAAGTACTTGTATCACTTGAAGACGCTATGGATGGTTGATTGACCGGATCACTCACAGTTTCTGGGCAACCAGTCGATTTTAAATCGTCACGATTTATAAGTCACTCGATAAACGATTTAAAGCGAGACTCGTTTGTTTGTGAATAGAAACGAGACTCGTTTAGGAACGAGACTCGTTTTTAGAAACGAGACTCGTTTTTAGAAACGAGACTCGTTT